ATACCAAGCCCTTTAAGTCTGGTATGGATTTGAAGGGGAAACTCCACATAAGAAACAAAATATTTGGCATGTTGCCCCCCCCCAAAACTGTTTAGACCTGGGGGGGCCCCCAGGTTATTTTAACCTGTCCATCCAGCCGGAATCCCTCTATAACTCTGTCCTAACACACTACTAGCACTGTTCAAACTCTTCCTCACAAAGATGTCAGCCGTTCCTCACCAACTCCAACACACACACTGACAGAAGCAGGCTGGGAGATCTGACTTTTATAGGGGCGGGGACATTTTCTAAACCCCATTATTGGCCAGAATTCTCACCTGACCAGAGGTCACGCACAGCATTGTGGGGTTTGCTTTTGGTGCCTGGGCAAACCTGCCCCTAAGTTTGTAGTTTGGGTGAATGGCGATCATGCAATATCATCGCAAACCCAACTCGGTGGAGAGTGTGAACCTCGTCCTTGTTCTCCGTGTCTCTGGAATTCTCCACCTGCACATGTCAGTACTGAGTAGAGAGCTGAGACCCCGTGACCAAAAACCCCCCAAAATCAGCTCTGTTCAAACTCTCTGATCGTTATCCAACATAATGCTGTTGTCACGATCCGGGGTCAGGCTCGGAGTCCAGTAGCTGAAGCAGCAGGCAACGTCGTGGTATAACAGGCCGGGTTCTGTACACAAGCAGGTGGTAGTAGTCAGGGGCATCCCGAGGCTGGGTAACACCCGGAGCTGTAACCGAGTGTCACCCCGCCGAGACGTCACTGCGCATGCGCGTGACGTCACCACTCGCCTGCGCGATGATTTCATCGCACACGAGCGGCAGTATTCTGATACCTGCCGGCGGCCATCTTGGTGATGGACGCCGGCAAAGAGAGGAGGGACGACTCCCCCGGCGGGATAAGTTACGCCGCCGGGTCCCCTCCTCTCTCCTGATTTCAGAGGGGGGGTGACACCAAAATGACTAAGTCATTTTGGTGTCACCCCTCCAATGGTGGCACCCGGGTGCGGGCTGCACCCCCCACATCCCCCTTGTGACGCCACTGGTAGTAGTATAGGAGCAGGTAGAAGCGTAGTCAGAGAACAAGCCGAGGTCAGGTGCCAAAGGTATCAGGTATGAAGCAGAAGATGATGAGAGTAGTTGGTAAATTAGCAGTCAAAGGTCGGTACACGGGTAGCGGTATGAGCGGATTGTATCACAGAGGGAGCAGGAAGCAAGATATTGGCATGAGCACAATAATCTGGTAAACAGGAAGTGCAGAGGCGTGGCTAAAATAGGAAGTTCAAGGGAGGAGCAAGGAGTTCAGCAGAAACTAGGTTTAACTGACGAGTACACATGAGTTCCGGCAAGGTGGGGTCTCACCAAGGGTCGGTGGGGTCTCACCAGGGCTCGGTGGGGTCTCACCAAGGGTCGGTGGGGTCTCACCAGGGCTCGGTGGGGTCTCACCAGCCTGGATGGACCCCACAGAGCCCTGGAGAGACCCTACAGAGCCTTGGTTAAACCAGGGCTCTGTAGGGTCTCAGCAAAGCTATGTGGGGGTCTCACCAGGGCTGCACGAGCCGCGTTTTCGCAAATGCTGTGCGGGCCGGGACAGGGTCTCACCAGGACTGTGCAAGCCAAGTCTGACCAGGGCAGCACAGGCCGCGTCTCTCGGGACGGTAGCGGGCAGGACCGGGTGCCGATGACTCGAGCTTCCTCTGGCGTTAAACTCCGCCTTCCCGGCAAGGTGGAGATCCTTGTGCGGTGGATGGGAGGGGTGACATCTCTCTCCTCATTGCCTGGTGGGCGGAGCTCCAGAAGGCAGAGTGGATGGATGGAGGAAACGGATGAGCTCCCAGCTTGACAGCAACAGGGCTGAGAGGTCATAACATTTCCTTGCTGCACCTGCATGGTGATGCTCCAGGCCGGGCGCGAGGCCTTAGGCGACCGCCTATTTTGCCTAATTAAAGAGCCGCCTCTGCTCTTCAGTATATGGATCCCCATTCCTCTACACTGTATCTCGCTATGTGATATGTATACATTATATACTGGAGATCCCTATTAGGAATTCTTCTTTGGCTTTGGTCCCCATCTTGTGTGATTGAATGGATGGCTGTGCTTGTTCTTCATGGTTCTCATGGTGTGGGGTTTTGGGGGGGTGGATGGCGCCCCTTTGGATGTACGGCCCCCCCCTTGTGTGTATACAGTACGCCCCGATCTGTGTTCATGGGACAAACTGTTTCCTCTTTGTCAGGCCTGGAATGCCCTCCGCCTCTCCTGGGATCCATCCGAATATGGCGGGATCGAGTCTCTCCGGATCCCCTCTGACAGCGTGTGGAAGCCGGACATCGTCCTCATGAACAAGTAGGTGCCTGAGCTCTGCGTCTTGCCCAGTGATAACCTCACTTTAGTTTTTGGAGGCACAAGGAGACCCTTCTGAGGTCGGGCTGTTCATCGGAGGTCCCGCTATCTAGCCGCCAGCCATGAGATGAATGCTGATCTTCTCCGGATGTTTCAGCCACTTCCTGTCCACAAATGTCAGCTGCTCATCATTGCTCTGGGCCGGCCTCCTTACAATGGTGGATCATGCCGGAGCAATGTGCGTCAGCGTGTCTCCATCCGGTTGGTCCCAGGCAGGTTGTATTTGCATGTTAACGCCCACATGTGATGCTGAGCCTCCATGATTGAAAGAACTGAAATCCAATGAATAAAAGGGGCGGGGCCAGGGACAGTCAGGCTGGGGAGGAACAGTCGAGGTAATGCTGGATGTCCTCCAGCCAGGAAATGAGGCGGAGCTCTATCTGACTTGCTGCAGCTTCTAATGCACATTGTGAGACTGAAGAGGAGGGTGGAGGTCAGATAGAAGACTGAAGGGAAGGAAGGAGGTCAGATATAAGACTCAAGGGGAGGCCGGAGGTCAGATAGAAGATTGAGGGGAGGCCGGAGGTCAGATAGAAGACTGAAGGGGAGGACGGAGGTCAGATAGAAGACTGAAGGGGAGGACGGAGGTCAGATAGAAGACTGAAGGGGGAGGACAGAGGTCAGATAGAAGACTGAAGGGGGAGGACGGAGGTCAGATAGAAGACTGAAGGGGAGGACGGAGGTCAGATTTATACTTGATCTAAGGTATTTGAAGTACTTCTAAAGCCTTAACTTTTTTAATCTTTTTGCATGGGGTTTGGAGGACTTGGAGCCTCTATCAGGATTTTGCTGGCCGTGTCCTTTCTGTGGGGATATTATTTGCCCCATTGGCCACCAGGACTAAAGGTGAGGAAACAGCTAAACCTTCCAGTTGTCCTCAGCAGGAACAGAGGGGAACGTTACACTGGAGGCTCCTCTTCCTCTGGCATCTGTCTGTAGATAGGAGGTCCTCTCATGTCTTGTGTTTGAAATGAAGACCCCTGGCAGTGTCCGGTCCTCTCTCGTTGCCTCGTATGAAGGGTCCGCTCATTGAATCCCTCTGACCTTTGACCCGGTTTTTCTTCTCCCCGCCCTCTCTCTCCTTCCAGCAATGACGGTGAATTTGATGTCGGCCTCGCAGTTGATGTCTTGGTTACCTGGAAGGGGAATGTCACCTGGTTGCCCCCGTCCCTCTATCACAGTAGCTGCCCCATCGAGGTGAGCGGATATAATACAAAGGAAATGTCACTTCTGCTTTTCATAGTATGAAGGAGGTCAGGGGTCAGAGTCTCAGAGGATGCAATATGGAAGATGGGGACATGTGACCATCACCTCTATTTGAGCTTGCTGGACACCCCATCCCAGAACCATGGCCATGAATATGGAGTTGCCTCCTTTGTGGCTATAACATCTTCCACTCTTCTTTTCCACAAGATTTTGGAGGGTGTCTGTGGGAATTCGTCCCATGTGTGTGAGGTCAGGTGCTGATGTTGGATGAGAAGATCCAGCTTACGATCAGCATTCCAATTCATCCCAGAGGTGTTCAGTAGGTCAGAGCTCTGTGCAGGACAATCAGATTGCTCCTAAACAATCCAAAGAAACAAAAGATCAACAATAACACTGGACACAGATTACTTCCCTTTCCTCCAGTTCCCCCTCACCAAATAGGGCAAGCCATGTCATAGTGGAGCTGGATGGTGGGAGCCCCTCATAATGGGCACAGCAGGTGTACAGACCCGGGAACTCAGCACAGGGATGGTGGGAGCTCCTCATAATGGGCACAGCGGGTGTACAGACCCGGGGACGCAGCACAGGGATGGTGGGAGCTCCTCATAATGGGCACAGCGGGTGTACAGACCCGGGGACGCAGCACAGGGATGGTGGGAGCTCCTCATAATGGGCACAGCGGGTGTACAGACCCGGGGACGCAGCACAGGGATGGTGGGAGCTCCTCATAATGGGCACAGCGGGTGTACAGACCCGGGGACGCAGCACAGGGATGGTGGGAGCTCCTCATAATGGGCACAGCGGGTGTACAGACCCGGGGACGCAGCACAGGGATGGTGGGAGCTCCTCATAATGGGCACAGCGGGTGTACAGACCCGGGGACGCAGCACAGGGATGGTGGGAGCTCCTCATAATGGGCACAGCGGGTGTACAGACCCGGGGACGCAGCACAGGGATGGTGGGAGCTCCTCATAATGGGCACAGCGGGTGTACAGACCCGGGGACGCAGCACAGGGATGGTGGGAGCTCCTCATAATGGGCACAGCGGGTGTACAGACCTGGGAACTCAGCACAGGGATGGGGGGGCTCCTCATAATGGGCACAGCGGGTGTACAGACCCGGGAACTCAGCACAGGGATGGTGGGAGC